TAGCACGTTTTGGTTCAATGACCTTATGAGAAGTACTTCAGGGGCAATATCCAACAACAGTATCATTTTTTGAGAGAACTTGCTACTTCGTTTCTTCTTGAAAGCAATCTGTTTGTTTTTTCTCATGTTTCGGGAATCCTCGATGACACATTGAATACCATTATTTGTCAATTCCTTTACAGCAATTAAGACTTAAAGGAGAACTATGGGGTCAGGGCTTATCCCCATAGTTCTCCTAAGGGTCACGGGAGAACGCAAACTAGCGTTCTCCCGTCACCCAAAGCAAAGTATACCGCGAGCGGAGATGCCGCAGACGGAACTGATCCCGAGAATGCTGTCTGGATCCACCCAGCTGCGTGAGTGACAACTGGACTTGCCTATCCAGAGGCAGAGCCAGCTGTGCCTGCCCCCTCCCCCGTCCGTTCCACCAGTCAGCACTGGAGGATCGGAGCGGGGAGGGTGGGAATCCCTGCAGGGAGCCGTGAGTGACAGTCACGGCTCTCTGCAGGGATAGATCAAGAAGTGAGTGAGCGACAGCATGTGTTGGCTCACTTCCCGATCTACTGAGCCGACCTGTGACAGTTTCATTGTCACAGGTCGGCTCAGATTTTGAGGCTGAGTGAAAATCACTTGCCTCATAATTCTCCTTTAATTATTTACAGTATGTGAGTGTGAATGAGGTCTGTGGAGAACGTTATCTATTATTTTAATGATCTATGGTCAGGTTCACAATGATGGTGTTATGTATTTACATGTTTGAATAAACTTTTTTCCATGTTTTACTTCCTTGCCTGTCTCGGTCTTTAGTAACCTCTGTGGTCGTTTTTTCTATTTGAACCGACAATTGTTTCTTTGCAATTTCGTGTTGGTTATAGACCATGTGGACAGGCATTGTACATTTAAGGGGTTAATTTTGTCATTGTCGGATCTCTAGAGGATCGTTTTTTTCTCTTAGTTCCAATTATCCTGTTGAAAATATAGATAATATTGTTGAACGGCAGTAAATCTTTTATGAAGATACAGAGCCCATAAATAACAACCAGATAACAATAACAGCGCCAAACTATAAACTGCACTATATTTCCTACAGCAGGAAACAGGATGTACGGCCTTTAGGTTTAGTTTTTTTTAATAGTTTCTGAGAAAAAAATGGCTTAGTAAAAATTGCTTTGAATTGCATAAAATGTCCAGGCACATGTAAATCACAAGACTGCAAAACTTTTTAAGGCCTCATTCACACACAACGCAAGCTAAATTGTATATTGCGTATATACGAGCGTATATGTGTGCACTATATGCAATCCCAGAACGCATCACTCGTAATGGAATTTTTTAATGTGCTATATGCATGTACGCGCGTATAGATGCGTATATGTGCGTAAACACGCGCATATGCACGTAAATACGCAGAAATACGCTGCCCGGACGCATCTCTGTTCCATTCTGTTTTTGCGCATATATACGCTACGCAAATATACGGCTCTATACGCAGCTGTGTGTATGGAGCCATTTATTTGCATAGGTTGCATATGGTACAATACGCACGGATGCGCGTATACGTGCGGCAGTGTGAATGAGGCCTAAATCATCGCCGATTGCAGGGCCCATTCACACGCCTATTTGCGTGTCAGCATAGGGCAGCCCATTCATTTCAATGGACTGGCCTATGGGCAGCAAAGAAGCTCATGTAGCTGTATGCGTACAATCACACGCAGCACCTGTCGTACCCAGAAACGGCCGATACAGCCATGCACGCAGCACGGATCTGTACAGGCTGACACTTACCCCGATAGCAAGGATAACTTACCACAAACTTGTGGCAGGGTTAAATTGTAATTCTTTCTAACTTGCTGCACATATTCCTGGCAAGTTGTAGACTTGCAGAACACTTGCAGCACAAGTTCCAGTTGACACTTTTAGAATTTGTAGCAAATTTGCCTGGCAAGTCTAAGTAAGAGTCCTGCAGGTCTTAGCAAGAGCTCTGCAAGTGTACAGCACTTTTGCAAAGCATGTTGATCTGGAGACTTGCAAAGCAGAATTGCTGTAATTGTGCAACAAAATTGTGAAGCTTGGCAAGTCTGCAATACTATAGCAAGTCATTTTCAAACTTGCAGCTCAATTGGGTAGCTATCTGGGTAGCTGTGTGAATAAGGTCTTAGGGTGCCCACACACCTTACGATAATCGCGGGAAATCCCGCGAGCGTACGATTATCGTAAGGTGTCTGGAAGCCGTGCAACCTCTACTACTGTAAGGTCGCACGACTTTAAACTTACGGACATGTTCGAAAACCCGCCGAGCATCGTACGATGTTCGGCGGGTTTGTGGCATGTCCATACGATAACAGCCGTACGGGCCCGTGTGCGCAAGCGCACACTGCCTGTTCGGCAGTGCGGTCATCGGAAGCCCGCCCCTCAGGGGGCGTGGCTTGTGATCATCGCAAGTACGATCTGCCTATGCAACATAGGCAGATCGTACGTTTTTTTAAGTACCTTACAGCCATCGCAAGACAAAAGTCCTGCGATGGTTGTAAGGTGTGAGCCCAGCCTTAGGCTGGGTTCACACCTGGGCGTTTTTCAGCGCTGAAAAATGCTCAGCAAGTGAAATCCCATAATTTCCTATGGGCATGGTTCCCACCTGGGTGTATTTCAGCGCGTGGAAGAGCGCTGAAAAACGCCCTACGCCCAAACAAGTACAGGAGCTTCTTTGGGGCGTATTTCCGTGCGTATGCATTGGTATTCCCGAGTGTGGCTCGGGGTTAACAAAGCGTTAACCCCGAGCAACACTCGGGAATATAGCGTAGGTCTTACCTTGTCCGCGATCCCCGCTGTGTCCCCCTGGCCACTGCCATCTTCCGGGTTCCGTCCCTTGCGAGCGTCCGCATCGCAGGGGGCGGAACCAACGGGAAGTTTGAAAGTTTTAAAAAAAAAAAACCTGCAAAAAAGAGAAAATAAATGAAAAAATAAAAATCATACGGCCAGGTATAAAAACGGGCGTCGAACGCGCGTTTCAGCGAACTAAAAAACGTGCTAAAAAACGAGCTGAAAAAACGTGCCTATAGTACGCCCAGGTGTGAACCCAGCCTTATGGGAAAAATGGGGCTTCGGTGGCTATGGACAAAAGGCTGCGCAGCTGCAATTAGGGGCCACACAATGCATATTGCTGAATATGAGATGGAGGTAAATATTTCCCGGGGGGGTGGTGGTGTGTGTGCGTTTATTAAACTGCAAAATAATTGTCCTTAAGGCTAGGTTCAGACCTAAGCAACACCAAGGACGAGCGTCCCAGGACCGCGCTAGTGCACACAACCGTTGTCGCGCAGTCCCATTGATTTCAATGGGGTTACATCCGCGCGGCAATAGCTAAAAAAACCGGTACAAGTACCTTTTTTTTGTGACACACAACACGCAGCTTTTTTTTTAGCTGCGATCGTGTTCAATTGCACGGGCGGGATCGCGACAGTAAACTGCGCAATCCGGCCGGCGCGACTGGGGTGCCATTAGAAAATAATGGCACCTCCAACGCAATCGGCGACTCCGTGAGTGCCCGGCAATCCGCGCCGTTTTGTGCACGATTGCCGCGCGGTCAGGAGTCGCTCAGGTGTGAACCTACCCTGAAAGTAGATGTAAATGCTATCACTAAAAACTTTAACATGTTAATGTCAATCCAAAACGTATTATTTAATATTTCCTGCCACGAAGGACTTTGTTCAGGCACTTCCTGTTATGGGGTGACATCGGTAGTAAACCGCCCACATCAACACACAATAGTGGGTCCATTAGAGGTATTTCCCACAATGTGCTAGTATGCACAACACATCAGCACACCATGGGTGACTTACCTTACAGTCGATCTCCTCCACTGCTGTGATGTCATCGAACTCTTCCTCTGCTGCCATCTTCAGTGCGCACAAAAGCTGGCCATAGTACTTACAGCCATCGAAAGACTTTTATCTTGCGATGGTTGTAATTTTATTAAAAAAACGTACGATCTGCCCATCTTGGACACGAAGATGCTGAGGGGCGGGCTTCCGATGACCGCAATGCTGAACAGGCAATGTGCGCTTGCACACACCGGCCCGTGCGGCAATTATCTTACAATCATGCCACAAACCAGACGAAAATCGTATGATTCTCAGCTGGTTTTCAAACATGTTCGTAAGACAAAAGTCGTGCGACCGTACAGTAAAAACGGTAGCACGCCTTCCACACACCTTGCGATTATCGTACGTTAATCGCAAGGTGTGTGGGCACCTAAACAGTGACAGGCGGCCTTTATGACATAAGAATCCAACCTGTCAGTGTTTTTTTAAACTCACCTTTACTTCCACTTTAAATTGTTAAAAAAACTCCCTGTGTCTGCATTGCTTGGCTGTGTCACTTGCGCTCCCAGCAGTCTATAAATGGCTGTGGTGATGATCATTTTATAGGCATGATCCACCAATGTCACCATCAGCAGACAATACAATGACATACACTGCCCCTGGAGTGCAAGCCTGTAGACTGGAAGCGGTTGCAAAGAGGTTGGAGGAGGGCAGCAACAAAGGATAACAAAAAAGACAACCACACACTGTTTTATAAAGCACGATTGTTTATGATGCACAATGCTTCAGCTGCGTGCCAAGGAATCTCTATACAATCCTTGCAAATACATGAAATCCAGTCCTCATCTAGGAAAAAAAGCGGTGACTTTCCATGCAGGGAGGTAGAGCAGATGGCAGGCTGCTGTGTCCCTGTCCCATCCCTGGTGGCCCCGGATCACATGGCGCCAGGTGAACCTGACCGGCTGGCTCCCCCTCTGCTGTGATGCCTTCCTTCTACCTGCGGACAGGAGGGGTCTAAACGGCGCACAACCCCGTCCAATCACAGCGCTAGGAGTACAGGAACAGGGCGCACCAATAAGAGCTCCGCTCTGCCAAAAGCCCGCGGCTGGCATCCAATGACAAGCCGGCAAGCGGTGACAGCCACCAATAGTATGACGCTGAAGGCGGAGACGAGCTGCCACTTCCTAGGACGCTGCAGTGAGTGAGTGGGGGTTTGATCAGGGCGCACCTGACAGGAGGAGTTCCCGGTGTACAGGAGCGGTGCCGGTCAGGTTGTCTGCCCAGCACTGCCCGCACAGGACCACACGAGCAGCGGTGACCCCGCTCCGCTCTCAGCTAGGCACGACGGGCCCTGTGTGCCCCTGCACTGAGCCATGTCCAGCCAGGAGAAACAGGTGCAGACAACAGGTGAAGAGAGGAGAGCGCCAGCAGAGGGCCCCGACCCTGGCGGAGCCAAGGCTTTAGGCCCAGGGGTGCCCATTCGAGGTATCCGCATGAAGTTCGCAGTGCTGAGCGGATTGCTGGAGGTCGGTGAAGTGAGCACAAGAGACCTGGTGGATACAGTGTTTAATCTGGTGAGTTCTGCATGAGGAGTAAAGTATGGAGAGCTCTGAAGTCATCCCCTATTGGAGGGATTGTCACAAGTCCTGACCAATGGGTGCCCGCTGACTGCCCTGACCAATGGGTGCCCGCTGACTGCCCTGACCAATGGGTGCCCGCTGACTGCCCTGACCAATGGGTGCCCGCTGACTGCCCCGAGCAATGGGTGCCCGCTGACTGCCCCGAGCAATGGGTGCCCGCTGACTGCCCCGAGCAATGGGGCCCCGACCAATGGGTGCCCGCTGACTTCCCTGTCCTGTGGGTGCTCGTTGGCTTCCCTGTGCTGTGGGTCCTGAATGACAGCCCCATACTGTGGGTGCCCATTTACTGCCCTGTGCTATGGATTCTCATTGGCTTTAATGTGCCATGGGTCCTTAATGACTGCTTTGTCCTGTGAGTGCCCACTGACTACCCCTTCCTATGGATGCCCACTGACTGCCCCCCCACATACGGGTGTTTACTCTCTGCCGTGTCCTGTGGGTGCCCACTGTCTACCCTGTCCTTTAGTGCCCACTGACTGCCCATAGGGTAGGGGCGCCTGCTCCATCATGTGGGTGCCAACTGACTAACCTGTCGTGTGGGTGCTTGTTTCACCTTGTCAGTGGCTGCCCTGACCGGTGGGTGCCTACTGGCTGCCCTGTGTTATGGGTGCTTGCTTTGTCCTGCCAGTGGCTGCCCTAGTCTATTTGTGCCTGCTGACCACCATATCCTGTAGGTGAGTTTAGGGGACTAAATTTAAAAGTTATACTTGAACCCGAACCTCTGAGCCAGCCGGCTGTCACAGCCCTTGCTCCAGCCTCTTTTCTCCTGTGCTGCAGTGATGACATGTCCCTTAGCTTCCTCACGTCCTATACACCATGTATAGATGACTCGCATGACCTTCAACTGCTGCAGTGGAGGGGGAGAGATGCTTGGAGGATCGGGTCAATATAACTTTTTCTTTTACATTTTTGTCCCTAGAGGACAACAATTACTTCTTGCAGTGCGGGGTTAGTCCCACTGCAAGTATTAAAATGTTTTCCTGGAGTTATTTAACACGGGTTCACACTGTTGTGGTGCATTAACATGCATTATTTTACACGGTAACAAGCGTTGTATAAAGACAGCTGCCTAGTGCTCCAAAATGCACAAACAAAGGTGTATGTACTTTTTTTTTTTTTTTCTTCTAATGCAGTGCACCACAATGCATGACATTTGTGTGTTGTGCTGCAACGCATATGCATTTATGGAGGTGCACTGGGTTGCTATTAAGAATGAATGGCATTGCAGTAACACACAAAACACATGTTTTGCATGAGATGCGGTAACGAGTGTGTTAAAGCACAAACTCGGCCTAAAAGGTCGAGTAGGAATCCAACCCTCTTGGATTCCTACTGCTCTCTTAAAGGAGAACTATGAGGTGAGTGCTTTTCACTCACCTCATAGTTCTAGCCGACCTGTGACAATGAGACTGTCACAGGTCGGCTCAGTAGATCGGGAGGTGAGCGAACACATACCGGCGTTCACTCACCTCTCGATCCTGTCACAGCTCTCTGCCGTGACAGGGGAGGGGCTGGATTCCCCCCTCCCCGCTCCGATCCGCCAGCGCTGACTGGGGGAACGAACGGGGGATGGGGTGGGTACAGCTGGCTCTGTCTCTAGATAGGCAGAGCCAGCTGTCAGTCACGCAGCTGGGCGGATCCCGGCATAATTTTCGGGATCCGCTTCAGCTGCGGTGTCTCAGTATACCACGAGCTACAGCTCGCAGTATACTGAGCCTAGGGTGACGGGAGGACGCTAGTTTGTGTCCTCCCGTTACCCTAAGGAGAACAATGGGGAAAAGCCTTAACCCCATAGTTCTCCTTTTTAAGCTTCGTTAGAAAGGTGTTCCCTCACTTCCTGTCCTGCTAACGTTTTACCAGACAAGAAGTGAGGAGGGGAAGGCTCCAACAGCAACACAAATGGAAATAAAGACAATTTTTTAGCTGAGTAAGGAAGGCTAGAACCCCTGTTTGTGGTGTAGCACAGGGCTGGACAAATCTTGGTGAAGTCAGGTAGCCAATGCTCCTTTAAAAATTACAGCCTGTGCCTATTGATGCTTTCTGTAGTTGTCAATGGAGCTGGCTCCTAAGAAAAAAAGAATCCTGCTGGTTCTTGGACTCCATGCTAATTTGTTCACCCCTGGTGTAATATATTAAAGTGACACTAAACTCAGGAGTTAAATCTTCTTCAAAATGCATTCAAGTACTTCGACTAATAACAACAATGTATCTTATTTGTGTATCACTCAGCAGGAGATCCTCAAATCATCTCTGAATTGGTACTGACACTGTCCTTTCTGGAGGGTGGCTACTTTTGCTCCACATGGTTCCTGTGCATGTTGAAAAGTAGCCACTCCCGTGATGGGACTACAAGCTCAATACAAATTGGTAAACTAAACATGAGGTTGTCGTCTATCACAGGAGTGAGCTTGGAGTGGGAGCTACTTTACAACACTCACAGGGACCATGGGGAACAATAGTAGCCACCCTCCAGAAGGAAGGACAGTGTCAGCACCAATTCAGAGATGATTTGAGGGTCTACAGCTGAGTGATACACAAATAAGATAGCTTTTTGTTAATAGTTGAGGTACCTGAATGTATTTTGAAGATTTAACTCCTGAGTCTAGTGACACTTTAGGACACTTTCTGGCTTTGCAAGAATGTAAGTATGAAGGGCATTGGTTCACTCCCAAATACTTTACATATTACTCTTGTGTTTATAGAGACAGTGATTGATACCTGATGTAGCTCTCTAAGAAGCTCTCTAATGGACGAGGGCTTGGGCCTAACCTTCAAAGACAAATCACTTCCTTTCCCTTTATATAATTTTTTTAATGTGCTCAGCCATGCTACTAGATTCACCTACGATGAATTGATCACTTAGTCATAGTTTTCTTATTTTTAAACTATTCTGCAGCTCGTCATGTGGGTCATACACTATTTCTTATGACATGTCTTTGATCTAGTCAAGGAAGAACCATCAGCGGCCTTTGCCTCACTCATAAGTTACTCCTACAGCATCCTTTTATCTGATATTCTCTAGCAAAAGCAGCAGTAAATTGTGGCTATTGATATACCGTGCATGCCTTCTGCCGCTGCTACGCTTTGTGGTGAAGGGTTGTGGCTGCTCTGAAATCAGTGTCATCCAGTGCTGAATATATGTGCCTTGGACTTTGTACCTCAGTAGTTAGTAAGAGCTAAACAATCAGCTTCTGCTTCTTATACTAGTTTGCCCTTTTCCTGATAGAACTGTAGAAGAGGCATTGTACGGTTCTATAAGTAAAACAGTTTCAGTGTAATCATCTTAATAATATGTGATGTTTAAGTGCGTGAGTGCTTTAATGTATATTAATTTACATGTCTGTATTAATAAAGTATAACTAAAGTTTTAAACTTTACTCTCTCTTATTGTCCTGATCACCAGGAATCAAAGTGAGGGTAAATCCCACGTATTGAATTGCCAACAGAACAGGAAAAGATGGAAAATCTTCCAATAGGGAACCTTGTTTCCTTAATAACCCACCTATGAGGGGATTTCTCTCCCATTGTATGATATCCTCTAACTTCCTATTGGGCTTACAGGAAGTGAAGGAAAATCTCCTTAATGAGACAATGATGGCAAACCCCCCCCAAAAATAACTGACAGCAATTTTAACCCTCCTCCCTCTATGCTATCCAAAATGAGGTGAAGAAAAGGTTTTGGCTTTAGATTTACTTTAACCCCTTTAGCTCCCACAGCAGTGCACTCCTTTTGAAATAGGGATGCACCAACACTGTTTTTCCGGTATAGAGTACCGATATTTATATTTTGGCACTCGCTGATGCTGATTACCGATACTGGTACTTCTGCTAGAATGGAGCCAGCGTCCCGGGCAATGAGGAAGCTTCTTGATTGCCTGGGAAAACAGCTCCATGCTGTTTGGTTGGATTGATGCTGTTTGGTGAGAGGTCAAGCGCCATGCTGTTTGGCCAGATCGATGCTGATTGGCTGGGACGCCGGCTTTATGCATCAGTATCGAGCTCGCCAATCAGGAAGCTGGGCGGTGAGTCATTATCCGCCCTCTGGCTTCTTGATTGGCTGGGAAGCTGGCTCCATGTTCCCTTATGGCACTGCCGGTCAGAGGGAATCTCCCTCTGACTGGAGGTTCCGGTATTGGGGGGGTAAGTATCGGAGCATTTGGGCGTGTACTCGTACTCACCCAAATACTCTGCGCCGCTATCAATACAAGTATCGGTGCATCCATACTTTTGGACCATGGCATTGTTTACATTACCACTATGGGCCAATTGATTCAGTAATACATTTTTGTTTTTAGGACAAGGAGGCTTTCTTTCTGTGATCCAGTTTTGCAGAAATTATTTCTTATTTTTTATTATATATACAATCCATAGAAAATATAACAAAACTAAAAGAGGCACATTTTTTTTTTTTTTTTTTATTTATTCAGTGTTATGGGTTAATAAGGGGTTAAATAACAACCACTCTTCAGGTGGCTTTAACTGATGCCATAACCAGATCAAAGCTGCAAATGAATAAAGTGGAGTAGATCAAATATAACAATGTTACTTTGTATCTCTATCTCCTGTCTGAACAATATTTATAAACACTGTGTCAGATGGTGATTGTTTGACAGCAGCTTTTACAACTTCCATATTTACTTCCATACTTCCATAAGTGCAGGGTGGGAGTGGCAGAACACCAGTAATTTTTCCACATTTAAAAATGTTGTGCTTTCATTACAAATATTTCCTGGTGATCCTGCCATATAGGTCCTCGCAGGCACTTCTCTTATAGGTGACAAAGCTATGTCCCTGCTTCTTAAATGTTCTCTTGAGTTGTCACCCTGTCACATCGTCTCTCAGTGGAGTCTGTAAGTGGCTGTAAAGAAGCTGTAGGAGATCTGCAGTGCTAATATGTTACATGGGAAGGGTGAAAGCTGTATTTTATGCAAAAA